GGGGGGGGGGGGGGGGTTGGAGAAGCGAAGCTCACATTTGTTTCCTCCCGGCGGGAGACCCTCTCCCTTCGCGGGGACTACTGGACTACTAATGGTCGTGACTCACCTCTTCCGAGTACGGCTCGAACGTCAGGCTTTGCTTCTGCTTAGCCGCCACCGCCGCGGGTAGATTTCCAGCCGGAGATGATGCGAAGACGCCGGGCGGCATGAAGAGACGGTGGTGCAGCAGGCAAGTTGCAAGCAGGTTTGCGGGGGCGGCACGGAAGGAGGGGTGCGTGTGTGTGACTGTGGAAACCCGACGTAAAAAAAAAGCCGAGATAAAAAGCGAGTCAGATGGTTACGGAAGAGGGGGGCGTTGGCTTTTACAGAGGAGCACGTTCACATATACATTGCGATCCACCTACACTGTGATCTCGCCGTTTTCATGCACCGTGGATGGAGGACTTTCGAGGTTCAAAATGATCCCCAAGCTATGTAGTCTATTGACGAGGCAATGGTTTCGAAATCAATCGCAAATTGCTAACATTCGACCATAAACTAACTTGGTATCTTTTTTCGACAGTTGAAACATAGCAGATCCAACCTGTCTGTGTGACTGCTGTGCTATCACGAAAGGTGAAACCCAGACAGGCTCTCGAATAGTCTAGTCGAGATATGTAAGATACGGATCAAAAAAGCTGAGACAACGACCTGTCTTGTGTAAACGATCTCAACGTGCAATTGATTGCGGTCTGCCATGCATGCATATGCATCGTTGGTACACGACGGTCCTCTCGCCGTTCATGATATTTTAGTAAATAAATGCTTTTTCTTGGCGCGCCGAAGAAAGTGTGGCCAACTTGACCATTCCATACATACGGTTCGCTGTTCCCCAAAGGAGATGGATGGATGCATTGTTGCGTTTTTTGCAGCGAAGATCGAGTGACACCCAACAGGGTGGATGCTGCTGCTGGATCAGTTTCTCTCCGCCCTCAGTTTTCAATGGTGGTGCCACGTGCCGTGCGTGCTTTCCTTGCGACCTACACAACCAGCAAGTAGTTTTGCAAAGAGCCAAGGAAAGAAAGGATCGAGCCTATTTTACGACCGACCACAGACGACGACGCCATGGCCACGCGGCCTGTCAGGGATGAGAGCGAGAGGACAACCTCATCATCATCCACGAGCTGAGAGCACGCGCTGCTACACGCTCGCGCATCCACATCGCACAAACCGCGTTTGTTGCTAGTGCTCCCTCCCGCCTGAAGGCAGGGCCAGCGGTGTGCGCCGCCCCGGTGAGGGTATGTGATAAATATGCATAGTGCCATCTCATTCATCGTGGTGGCCGGAAAAGTTTTGGAAAATTTCAAATGAACGCCCGAAGCAGCGGTGGAAGATGTAGCTAGCGCGAGAGAGGACACACGCAGCAGCAGCAGCAGAGCGCAACTGCAGTCAGGGAGAGGAAGAGGCTGGCCATCGAGGACTTGCATGTGCGGGCCACAGCAGTAGCAGCGTGGCATTTTGTCGCCAGTGTGTGCCGTGTCCGCCACGTGCATGGTATCTGAACGAACGCTTGGGCTGACTCTCTGTTCTTCTGCTACAGGGGTGGATTGTTGGTTTCTTTCGTGCGCTCTCTGAAGTCCCCCACCAACTACGAGCTGCCAACCACACGCGTCCCGACTCGCTCTTCGTAACTCGATCTACCAGCAAGGAGAACCGTCTGCAACGGCGTCGGATAGCGATATAGCCTACCCATGTTCGGGGATAGGCCTACCAGCGCGGGCTTGGATCATCGGCAAAAAGAGCAGTTGGGGAGATAGACTTCAACGAAACGACTTGCTACTTTGAAACATGATCGATCCCGTTTTGGTCGACGTCGACTGCAACAACAACACCAGCGCGATTTTCTCGGAGTGGTGACACCCTCGCTCTCGCACTCACCCTCAAGGCGGCCTTGACTGCAGCGAAGCGGTTCTCTCTCGAAGCGTGCGTCATGGAGAACCGCTGCCCCTTCCGGCTGCCCCTGGCCTGATGCATCGCTGCCGTTGCCACGCTCTGCCGTTTACCTTGGGAGAGCCACGCGCTCCACAAATCAAGGTAACAACAGAGTCAGCAGTGGGCTTCCAAGTCTCGCAGGCAACGCATCAAAGGCTTCAGCTCCTTCCTGATGGGGATCGCAGCCGCCGCCACCGCTCCGTGCCGTGTCTCGCTGCTGCTGCTGCAAAGCTACTACCCCGTGCGCCCTGTGGCATGCGCGAAAAAACAACAGCAACGTGCTTGTTGGCCTCCGTCTTTGCCCCCTACTGCTGTTGTGGTTGGATCGTCGAAAGGTTCCTTGCTTTCCGTCTCTTTCAATCGAAAAGGCCGATAGAGTGCTTCCGGCAGAGCGAGGGTACACCGCAGCAGCAGCGAGGCCTCGCGTTGCTGCCGCTCTTCCTCACGCGCGGTATTCTTGCACGAGGATGAGAATGGTGCAGCGTCCCTTGGTTCTGTGTGTCGGGCCAGATCGAAGTTTTGTGTGTCGTGTGTGTGTCGATCGATGATGGGAGCAGCACAGCGGCAGCGCCTTGGGGGGAGATTTCGTAGAGGTGAATTGAAGGATGGCGAAACTTTTCGGGAAACAATTCAACCCTCTTGATTTTTCGTTGAAAAACTCGGACAAACAAATCAAAATCGCCCTTAACGGAACTCGGAGAAACAAATTCATCATCGCACCTTGATGATGCATAATTGGTTGAGACACCACCGAAAGATCTTTTTAGTCACATTTACCCCCCGGGCAGCCCCAGGGCTGCTCCCCCCAGGTGGACGTTTTTCGGCCGGGTCACTATGTAGCCTTTTGCTTTCGCTGCTGCAATGACGAATCGCAAAACTTGGAAGCACATCCATTCCCTGTCAGTACCTTTCGTGCGGGCATGTATTGCCAAAATCTGTGCGTTTCAAAATATCGCCGACTCCACCCTACCTACTGGACTATGTCATCGTGCAACAACACGTGATGTTGGGCCGGTCCGTCCTCAGGGCTGCGGAAACTGTAGAGTGGAAATACGATGACAGCGTCGTTTTATCCAGGGGAACCGCCGGTGAACAGAAATCGTTCGCGTATAAAGAACGAAACAAAGGCTGACACGGGCGGACCACTCGCTCTTCTATGCATGCTCTCTCTGCTTGTGATATAGCACAAGAAGACGATGAGCGCAGTCGTAAGCGGTCTTCCAAAGTCTGACAAGACATTGCACGACGAACGGCGCAGGACACGCCCTCCTTCCCTTCCCGCCCCCCGTGATACTCTGTAACGACGCAAGACAAGGGCAGATTGGGCATGTACGCGTTTGTTTGTCGACAGTAGATGAAATCGGGGTCTATGGTTGAGGCTCTCCGTTTATACATAGTTTAGATGTTGAAAGGCCCTGCCGCATCACGGCAACAACAGCGTGTGACCGGACAGCGTAAGCCACAGCGCCAACAACCCAGCGGCGACTTTTCGTCCATGGCTACGTGCGACCGCGGGTATCTGCTGGTACTCTGTCGGCTGATTGCACGCGCAAGTTCTTGGTCCCCGTCTGCTCATCTGTCTGCCGTGCGTGGTGGTCCAGCACCGGCCGCGCGCAGAAATAACAAGGCGGGAGGGACGAAGAGAAGAGATGGAGGAACATTAACATTTCGTAGTCCCTCCCCCCATTCAGACTCGTGTCGCCCAACGAAAAAAAAAGTTTAACGGCCGTGTGGGAAACAAAACCGCCTTCTTTCTGTTTGACCCTTCTCCTTCGCGAGCATCATGCGTCGTCAAACGAAAAAAAAAAAGACACCAGTTTACAACCCGAGCCTCTACTTTGAACGAGGCGCGGGGAGCATGCTGTCACAGCCACCCACCCGTCGTCAGTCAAAGTCCCTACTTGCTTCCACAACGAACACACACGCTGGCGGTACTATCGTACAAGATTTCGAAAGCGCCACTCGCCTTCGTCACCGTCCCCTAGCGAGACGACGAGAGAGAGCATTAACAAGGAGATTCTATGGGACACGACATCTCTCCTTGTCCGGCACCCAACACCGCCATCCCCATCCATCCGCGTGCCAAAAGGACGCAAGCAAGAGAAACCAAAGAAACAATGAATGGGACTGTTCTGCGCTCTCGGGTTCATCGCCATGCCGGAGAAAACAACAAATACCGAAAGTCTTTAGAGGGATGTAACTACCGTCGTTCATCACTACATCCGCGTTCACAAGAACACCACAACACAAAAAAAAGGCTGAGAGACAGAAAGAAGACATTCCTACATCCCTCGTTTGACTCGATCCAGTCTCTACTCGTCATCCAGGTCGTCGACATCCGCGGCACCGTCGATTTCGTCCCCTGCCCCCTCTTGCTGCATCATGGCCTTTTGGGCCTTGAACATCTCCAACGCCATCTCCATGTTCTCCCGCCATTTCTCCGGAGAATCGATCTTTACAACATGGGAGGTAGGTATTCGGGAGAGACAAAAGGGGCGATAAGCCATTACAGCACAACTTTTCTCCGAGAGTTTATATACAAAGACAAAGACAAAACGGTACAGGGCACAGAGACAAGAGATAGTGTGTGTGGGAGAGATGGAGAGAGAGAGAGAGAGAGAGAGAGAGAGAGAGAGAGAGAGAGAGAGAGAGGTGGTCCCCAAAAATCGGCTGTGTAGAGCAGCGCAGAGCACATCGAACCCCCCCGCTTCAGAAACTCATATTTTGCCGTAGGGTCCAGGTTGTTCTTGCCGCTTCTTGGGGCTGCTGCGTTTAGCAGCCGCTATCGCTCTCATGATATGACCAAGGTTTTGGCGTAAGGGTCCCGAACAAAGCATCACAAACGTGCGCCTATTCTTGCTCTCCGAAAATTTGCCCCTGACTTCTGCTGTGCTGTACTTGGGAGTGTACTCAAAGCCGCGCATGCAGTTGCCGTTAGACCATTGACCTCACATCCCTACAAAGCCGGAACGGAGCACGACGGGTTCTCACCGGACAAAGGCTTTCGTATCACCAAGCGCGACGCGCCGTGAGGTATTCGGCGAGTCGCATGAAGGGTGCGCTGCATCCTGCTGAGGGTGTTCGGCATCTTGTGCCTACTTCCTACTTCCTTGCGTACCGATAACAGCTGCACATGACTTGATTTATTTTCTGGTGCTTTCATTTCCAGAGACAGTTGTAAGCACTACTGTGTAACTGCCACCAGGGTGCTTGACCAATTTGACACAACGTGGTGCGACTACTCCCTTTGCGCGGAGTGAGTGTTCTCGACCCCGCATAACATAATCTACTCGACCACCAATCATGGTTACCGCTGCACGTGGGTTACCAGATCAAATCCCAAGAGGCGCTCATAGGCCGGCCGGTGGGCAACAGCCAAGGACAAGAAAAACAAAACACGGGTAACAAGCTCATGGATCGAGTCTAATACGTGCGTGATAATCACACTTCCAAATCATCCCTCCACACACTACACCTGTTGCCCCTTCTCCCAAAGCGGTCTCCTCTGCCCGTAGTTCCAATTGATTTTCCCTCCAAACCGACAACCTCTCCCCCCGCCCCTCTCCCCTCCTTCACACTCCCGACTTCGGTCACTTGCTATGTGGCGGGAGCCCCGCCCCCACCGTCAGTCTTCTGCGCAACCTAAACACACTCACCATGTCCGCGAAGCCCGGCAATTGCGTCATGGCCTGCTTGAGGGTCGGGTTGTCCAGGATGGCTTGCCTTGCCTGCTCCATCTTCTCTGGGTTGCCCAGCACTTCCTCCATCATATCTGAGTTCATCATCTCCTGCGAGCGAGCGAGTTCAATTTCAGCACGTCAGCGATGCAACAGGACCGCTAACCTAAAACCAGCCGTGCGTACGGGACCACAATAGTTCGTGGCAAGGGAAGAGCGCACGAGATGACGTCACGACACTAGGGGTTTCGTGGCATGTGTTTTTCAAGTGGGGGGGGGGGG